TGCCCAGAGAAGCTGTGGATGTCTCATTCCTGGAAGGGTTTAAGGCCAGGCTGGAAGGGGCTTGGAGCTGCCTGGTCAGGTGGAAGGTGTCCCTGCCCATGGTGGGGACAGAGCTAAGACCTGGATGATCTTTAGGGTCCCTTCCAACTCAAACCATTTTCTGATTCTGTTCTGGGATTCTCTGATCTCTTCCCAACTGGTGCCTGAACCCATTCTCAGCATTGATACCTGCAAGCCCCAACACAACCCCATATTGCAGTGCCTTCAGTCCTGACAACAACAAAATCGGTGAGATGCCCCCCCAGTTCAAAGTGGATGTCCACAGCCTGCTCTCATCCCTTTCCAGTCATCAGAGATCACGGGACAACACCGTAGGCTCAGGAGGGACTGACCTCAGACTGTCATGGACAATTCTTTCAGAGCTCCACAGCCACAGAGGGACCCCCAGAACTCTCAGCTCACACAGGGACATCCACACTGGAGACATCCAAAGCCTTGGAGATGATCCATGGCTCACAGCCCCCCCTGTCCATGTTCCTAACCCACCTCACCAAGCCAGCTCTCCACAGAGCAACGAGGCAAAGGTGGCAGGGTCTTCAGTAAAAGCCAAACCAGCCACAGTCCTCATAAGGCTGGATTAAAAAATGTTTTCTGAGGGCTGCCTTGGTACTTTCTGAACCACCATGAAATCTTCCTTTGATTATTTTGGACTGCTGCTGGCTGCCGTGGCCAACACTGGCTCTTCCCCAGCTCTCATCGCTGCTCCCATCAACATGCTTGGGWTCAGCCCTTTTGCAACACCTCTCCCTGAGGACATCCTGCTGCCTGAAAGGGTCTCCCAGCTTCCCTCGGTGCCCAGGGGATCTTGCACCATCAGCTGTGCAGGGGTGGAGGTCTCAGCTTTCCCCAGGATTTGGTGGACCCTGTGGGTCTGGGCAGGAGGCAARGGAGGGAGAGAGGTGCTGCCCTGCTTGTGCTGCAGTATCTGGAAACTCCCATGCTCGTAGGGATGAAAATGTAGGGCAGCTCTTGGGTTGGGAAGGAAATTAAAATGTTTGCAACAAATATAGCTGAAAAGTCAAGTGGGGAATTAGGCGCCGCTTGGCAAAGGTACAGGAACGCGGATCACCAGGGGTGGGTTTTGCCCTGGGAGCTTTCCCTGGGAACAGAACAAGGAGGGGAAGGAGAAACTCTTTGCCCAGGCTCACACGACAACCCCCGCGGTTCAGAAAGGGGCTCCTGCAAATCCCTGCTCCATGCCATGACCTGGCAAGGAGCGGTGCTGCCCTGCCCGAGCCGCTCGCCGGGCAGGACCTCGGGGCAGAATTCGYTTTAACCATGGGAGAGAGAGAACATTTGAGTGGCAGGAGAAGAGGCTTGCGGGGAGCCTGCAAAGGGCTGAGTCACTCGCTGTCGGCGTCAGCAACCGAGGAGAAAAGCGTGACTGCCAAACAGCCACCTGGAGCTTCGTCAGCTCATC